CAGATGAAGAGGAATATGATTTCTCTTTCTACATTGGCGACTTAGGGTTATAAATATCATGCAGAGAATGATACTTTTAAAGCGTGTAAAGGCTCCGAGGTACTCATGAAAAACAGTTTAGAATCTAGATTATATATTCTTCAGGAAAATGTAGTTTCAGGGGAAGCTACTCTAGCATTAGGGAACAGTAATCAGAATTAATTGTGGCATCTACGTTTGGGTCACATGAGTAACAAATGGTTATCTGTTTTGAGCAAACAAAGTTTGTTGAATGGGTATAAAGAAGGAGTTTTAGGTTTTTGGTGAACATTGTGTGTTTGACAAGCAGACTAGAGTGAAGTTCCATAAAAAGACAGTGCACAAGACCAGAGGTAAGTTGGATTATGTTCATTTTGACTTATGGGGTCCATACAGAGTTTTTTTCAAGAGTGGTGCTAAGTACTTTATGACATTGATTGATGATTACTCTAAGAAGGTATGAATGTATTTTCTAAAATCCAAGGAATAGACATTTTTAACATTTTTCATATGGAAGACTATGATTGAGAAGCACACACAGAGGAAGATCAAGTGTCTTAGGACTGACAATGGGTTAGAATTTTACAATCATGAGTTTGATGACTTTTGCAGTATGGAAGGTAAAGTGAGACACCGCACTTATGTTGGAACACTACAACCGAATAGTATTGCAGAACGCATGACTAGATTACTTTGTGATAGGGCATGAAACATGTTGTCTCATTCAGGTGTGGGATAGGAATTTTGGGCTGAAGTTGTGAATACTGCTAGTTTCTTAGTTAATAGATCTCCATTCACAGCTATTGAGAGTAAGACTCCTTTTTGAGATATGGTTTGGGTCACATACTAATTACTCTCAGTTGAGAGTGTTTGGTTGTTCTGCTTATGCTCATGTTAGGGATGGTAAGCTTGAACCAAGGGCAAAGAAATGCATATTTCTAGGGTATGCATATGGAGTGAAAGGCTACAAGTTGTGGTGTAGTGATCCAAAGTCTTTAAGGTTGATTATCAGTAGATATGTGATATTTAATGAGTCTGCTTCATTAGATAGTCAGAAGGGGAAGACAATAGCAGAATTAGATCACGGTGTCAGAGAACAAGCAAAATTAAAAGTTCAGTCTAATGGTCCAAAGAATGAAGTGCATGATCTTAATAAAAAATGTGATAGTGCACCTAATCAACAACAACCATATAGTATTGCAACAGATAGGGAGAGAAGATAGATTAGATAACCACAGAGGTATGAAATCTAGATGCATATAACTTATCAGTTACGAAACCAATTGATT